TACCAATTTTAGAGATCGGGCTATCATAAATCTATACTGCGTTAGCCCGTCGGGCTAGTAAACACTGGTAAATCTAAAACGAAAGTATACATATATTTACGGCGACTGAATTGATGTACGAATTAACCTTGTTGTAAAATCATAATCTTTAATTCGTTTTAACCTATATGTTTTGTGTGTTGCTATCGCCAGTCGTTTCAGTGACATAATAATTATAGCAGGGACCTAGTATATAGGTCCCTGATTATCATAGTCAATAAAAATAGGGAGAAAAAAGCGCAAACCATTATTTGTTTTATTTATTTCAACTTAAATGTTTTTTTTTAACCTTTTTGTTATACTTATACATGTATTGTTTTCGGTAGTTAATGGGCTAGTGACTGGCAACCTCGGGCTAGTAACTTTGTTACTGCCACTAGCCCGACGGGCTAGTAACTAATTTTTGTAATTGCACACCCCTGCTGTGTGAGTTCTTACGTCCACTGTTCTTGGCAACTTAGCCCATCTTCCCGTTTCTGACCACTCCATATTGACTTCGGTACAAATTATGAGAGCAATGAATTCCTAATAACTTACCTTTTTTTTTTGGTTCTCTCCAAATCTTTGCATTTACTTAGGCGCCATATTGAGAACATTAAGAATTTCGAACCCGATCTAAATTCAACGGATTTCTCTAAAATCCATATCTTCTAAGTAATTTTTAATAAAATTTTAAACTCCTTCAAATTTTCATTAATCATATAAATCACATTTTTCCCATTATTTTGAGTACAACTGAAAGTACATGTTTCTCATTTATTCTCATTTATTCCTTGTAAATAAAATTTCACATCAAATATTTATCTTTGTTTTACTTTGTGTTGCTGGAATTCAGTTCAACCTGACTATCCCAAGAGCAGACTATTATCCCCTCTTAGGGTAGCAGTACAGTAGAATAGAGGGCCGTAGGAACAGAGAAGTGGTAATGGTGGGGAATGTTGGACACAAGCCCCCCCCCCCCCCCCCTCCCCTGAAGAAACACTCAAAAATATCATTTTTGAAACAGAGTAGATCATAATTCATTTGTTTAAAGTAACACTGCTAGATTTTCTTTATTTTATATGTGAAAAATGACTTCAAGGATGCACCAGAACCCACCAAAATGTATATTCATTTATTAATGATTTTAATTTAAGGATTGCACAGGATTGAGTCCTGGAAAAATCTTGTGGTTGGCATATGCCCCCCCCCCCCCCAAAAAAAAAGGTATAAGTAACACAGGCACTTGATTCGATAAAAAAAAATTAACCCATAGTATAATAATATTGCGTTATTACTATACTATGGGTTAAAAAATTTATTACTGAAACAAGTGCCTGTGATAAGTAAGTAGTAATTAAAAATACTAATAAAAGTACTTCATAACACACTAATTGGTACAGTGTGCCCCAAAGAGGCATATAAGTAAGAAAAAGTACAAGTAAACCCAATTTTATTAATACACCAATTAGCAGAGTTATCATACATGTAAGTACATGTATCATACAACAAAAATATGTATGTATACTTATCTTGAAGCTTTTTTGACATTTAAATCTTCTATTTAGAATTTTATTGATTTTTTTTTTTTAAATTGGGTAGTTGTGGTACACTACCCCCGTTTTATATCCTTTTTCTTTTGCTAATAAATACATTTTATCATTTCATATAAAGACTTCAAAATTATCTTTGGTAGACTCAGGATTTTTTAAAGGGGGGTTCAACAGGCTAATAATGGGGTCTGAGCCAGTGAGGGCCACCTTGTGGCCCCAGTGGGTAAAGGACAAAAGCCCCTTTAAGCTCCGAGGATTTGGGTCCTTTTTAAATCAGTTTTGTGAGTTGTGTTATGTATATTTTATGCATAATAAAAGCAATATCTAACCAAAAAAAAATGATTATTTCACCTTTACTAAATTTTGGCACACAAGAGGGGGAAGGGGTATATAGAAACTGTTTTAAGAACAGTTTTTTACGGTAATAGAAATTTCATATTCATCCAGGATTTTAAATTTAAAATACGAATAATAGATTTACCTCCTAAAATTATGTTTCTGGGGAACATAACAAATTTTATTTTAATGCTTTAGAGGCAGTGAAAAGGAATTATACACTTAAAGACCTTGAAGACTCAGATTCATATTTGAGTTGTTATTAATATAATTATGATATATGCTGATAAAACAGATTATGACATAATATTAAAAAATAATATTTATACATAAAAATTATCAAATGTAGTACCTTAGAAAATTACATGAATTAATAGCCAAATTATTGTTACTACAAAATAACATATCTTTACTTATAATATCTAAAATTATAGACAGAAACTGTTTACATCATTGAAAACTGCAGAATAGAGTAAAAACCTCTGCAATACCTTAAATTCTTGAACATGTAATTGTAGAAGTAGTCTTTGACAATATATGACATTGTAAGTCTTGTTCAAATCTTAAACCAAATTTTACTCATTGTTCAAAAACTAAAGAGTGTCATAAAAGGAAGGAAGTGGTTTGTGTTGCATTAATTTTTGTAGAATCGTTTGTTATTGTATCTCAAAACACAAATCTCAGATTCTCGTACACAAGAAACCCCCACCCCCCCCCACCCCCGCGCTTACTATCAGCTTCTTTAAATAATGCGTCAATCATATCCATGTTTCGAACGTCAAACCATGAGCATCCACAAACTTAATAATTAATTAAAATAAATATTTGATGATTTTTAAAAAGATGTATCATTATGAATGAAAAGAAATTAAAAATGTGTATTCAGAATTTCCTCGACGTTCGCTGTTAGTCAATATTGACGCTATGCAAGCGCGTCGTATAAAAAAGGGGAAAATAATATACAAAAGACGTATAAAACATAAAAAAAAAAACAGCTGCAAATAATAGTAAGTAACAGATTTATACTTACGAAAAAGGATCCAAAGCACTTCGAGGCGTCTGCCATTGTCTTCTTTTCTGGTTCTCCAGGTCGACCGGAAACCAGGCAACTTATTGCCAGACAAACATGAGTCATTTGTAGACCATGAATTTTCGAAATTTTAAATACTGAACTCACGAATGAATGAAGGGTAAGAAAATATAGGAAATGATTAAACTAAATGGGATATTAATTAAAACTATTCATATATAGCGGATTTTGATTAATATTACACATTTTCTCTGGGCGACTTAATAGATATATATATTCCTATGAAAATATATGCCGGGTTATAAATAATTTAATTATTTCTCGCTATGCGAATAAAAAATGCAGAAATTATAATTGCATTGAAAAAAATAATTACGAAAGAGTCTTATTTCAGGACATCAGTCATCTTACCACAAAGTACACTGCCTTAAGGATCAGTTAAAATATTAGGGAGACCGGAAAAAGTCTGCTTAATCCATCGGGGTCCCAGACCGATATATAAATGCTTAACTGGGTTCCCTAACCAAGAAGTCCGGATTATATATATATATATATATATATATATATATATATATATATAAAACAAAAGCCTTGTCTTATGCATTAATCACTGAAGTAAAATCAGGATAAACATCATAGAACTATAAAGTACTGGTATTCCAATTCTCAAGCTTTACCATTAATTGTTATCAATCTTTCTCAATCAATGAGCTTAGAGTGAAATAGTCGGAGCGGAATATTTATATCACTCATGGACCTAAGACTGTTTAGGTGGAACGGTTTACTTAAAGCTGAACACGACTCGTAAATAGGCATACGCCATTTTCGATATCATATCTACGATGCATGAACACCAGGGTATACTCTTCGCATTCGTTACACCTGACTGCTTTATTGTCACGGGTATCGGAGTGGAATGGCGACCCGTGTTCGTGCTGGTTATCTTGCATTACCTTTGTTTACGTTTTATTGTAGTTACGTGTATCTGTGTTTGTTTGTATACTGCACTGACCATAACTACTATAACTGTAAGTTTCTTTTGTATCTTACTTTCCTGCATTAGACGAGGTATAACAGTTATTTTTTCGCTACCGAGTGATATATAGCATATGTACTGTCCCGAAGACAGCAGTATAACCTTTATTGAGTAATAAATGGTAAAAAGCTGAAAAAGTACAAAATAAAATTACAAGAAAATGTTCTCAAGTTGCATAGTACATCAAATACAGAATACATTCAATTTACTTATGACATTAACTGTGTTCCATACTTTTTCAGATCAAACAGGGGTTGGTTACAATAAAACTTTGAAAGATTTCTTACTCAAATTATATAATTAACAGTCAATAAATTCCTTACTGAAGTTGTCAAAATATTTTAAACAAAGTTTCATATAAATGCACTCATGATTAAAAGTTGGTAAAGTTTGGTTCAGCAACCACGTGCTAACATGCATGGCAGTGATGCTACATCCTAATCTCCAAAAAATATGCATAAATGATTCAAAGCATTAACAAGAAAATATTATACTCGTCATGTCTCACCTAAACATTGATGCATAAGACAAACAAATTATTACTTACACTGTAGTAGGCCACAATTGCCTCGAGAAAACCGTAAACACAACACAATGGCTGCAGCGCATACATACAAGGAAGATAACTCTAACTGAATCTTGACAATTTTACAAAGAACAATAACTCTATATAAAAACATTAACACTAGTCGGTACAGCATACGTCCGTCTACACCGGTGTCGACTGATCATACTAAACAGTGTCCAAGTCAGGCCCTTTATATAGGAGTCCTCAGATATAGCGAGAATCCGAACAAAAATGGCGGACACATTGCTTTTACGAATCATGTTCAGCTTTAATATTGCTCCTGGGGCTTAGACTGTTATGGGGGAGCAGTATATACTTAATATCACTACTGCTCTTCTTCCTTTTTCTCCCTCCATTTTGTCCTCTGTATTACATTTTTGGTTGATGATTATTTTTTGAACAGTTTCTCTCCTTATTGCAACTCAGATTTTAGCTTTTAATAGAAAAATCTTTAAGCAATTACAAATTTAAGCAGATATAATTCAAGTATTCAAAAATTGAAAATTTGTTACAAACTTACAGTACTGCTTAGTAAATATAACAATTCATTGAGCATAATCATGCAACACAGTACATGTGCTTGATGCTTAATCCATTGGAAAATCTTACATGTTTTGGTTTGTACTTGAGAGTATGCTATTCCTTTGGCAATTATCTAAAGTTTCATTGTACGACTTTTATAAGATATGTCTGTGTGTCCATCACTCTCTTTAATTTCTGCCCCTTTCATACCTGCTAAGTATCTCTTAATCTCCAGCTGAGGACGCCTATATTCTGTAACATCATTATACGAAATATCCATCTCTTTCAAACTAGGCGGAGCCTTTTCAAAAAAGAACAGAATCATATCTTTTGCCAATTCGATACTTTGTATGGAGTTCCTGTCTATATAAATCTTCTCTAGTTTCAGATTGGTATGGATTCCATCTAAAATCTTCCTCGCTCCAGAGTCACCGATATTATTCTGCCGTAGGTTAAGATAACGCAGACTATGCCAGGACTTCACCATACACTCACCAATGCAACTTCCTGCTGTGTCATCTAGGTCATTCTCTTGGAGACAAATGTCAGTCAACGTTGATAGGTGTAGGAGGCGATCACTTGATGTGAATATGGTCGTAGAGCCTAACTGGCACTTCCACAAACTCAGATGATTCCAAGAATGCTGATTGCACTTCATCATTTCTAAAAAGGATGCTGAAATGTTTGAAAGTCCTTCAGTTATAGTTCCTTCTAAAACACCAATGGCATTACATCCATAATCTAGATGCTGAAAGTGGGGCATGTTTTTCAGAAGATTGAAATATTTCTCCGCAACTGACTGGGAAAATCCACATTCCCTTATATTCATTTTCTTCAAATTCTTTCCATTCAGAGATTTAATAATCAGTTCAAACCCTTTTTCTGAGATTTCCTTACAACTGCATAGGTTTACAACCTCAAGCAGAGGTAAATTTTTGAACAGAATCGAGAGTGACATGGCCCCTTCGTACCCAATGGTATTTTCATGAACTCTGACTATTCTTAGATTTTCTTTGTCCATCAGTAAAGCTGATATTTCCATTATTCCTGAACCAGTGATATTATTGTCTGCAACATTGATCTCAGTCAGTTTGGCAGCTACCTTGAAATCTGAAGACATGGCTTGCAAGCCTGCATTGCCTAGTTTGCATCTTTCCATTTCCAACCGTTTTAGCTGTGGGAGGAAATATAATCCTAACGGTTCTGGCTTCCTCAGGTCCATCAGTCTGGTGTCATTCAAAACAAGAGAAATAAGAGGAGAAAACCTGCAAGCCTGTAATATCTCTCTGTAAGCTTCTGGAGTAAGAGTAGTTCTAGACAAATCAAGCTCAAATAAGTTTGCTGTCTTTTGAAGTCCTTCACACAGAATCTTCACATCTTTTGCTGGATTCAAACTGGCTCCTGAAAACTTGAGTGACAGATAGCCTCTTCCAAACACAGGTTCACCTTGGCTGACCTTCAATTTGGTCTCTGCCAGTCTTTGTCCATTTTCATCTACTGTGACATGAATATTCAATGTCCCCAGAGTGGAAAGAACACTTGAAAGATGAACTAGAATTTCGATATCTGGGATCATAATTGATTTAGTAACAACTCCTGTTGAAACATCCCATTGAGTCATGCTACTGGAGGCCATGGACAATTCAAATTTGTCAATCATTTGTTCCTGAATAAGAATATGTAGAACATTTGCTTGGATTTCCTGGGTATCCTTCAGAACTTCCACTGTGTACAATTTTTCTGCTGGAATAAGAGTCTTGAGAGCATCAAGTCGATGACTTTGATCAGTGCATTTCATGATAACATAATGCAATAAAAAATATTCCATCTTTCCAGATGGTTTGTTTGTAAAATCTGAATTGATCAGAATTGTGGTAAACTCTCTTGGATTTTCTACCAACTTAAAGAGAGGATAATACCCACATAATTGTACAGCAGACAAAATACCACTATTGTATATCAGAAACTGCTCCAGGACTGGACTACTGAAACAGTATTTCTGATGGGCCTTGGAGAAGATAATAATTCCCTCCTTCAGTATTTGCTCCCATATCTCTGTAGAAAGGACACACGAGTCCACTTTCCCTGTAGCTGCTATCTGAGGTCTGACTGTATCCTGAACCTTTTCGATACCAAAGAAACATTGCTCTTCTTTTTCGCCCGTATCATTCTTTCTTGCTTCTCCCAGTTCTATCCCAAGTTTGCACAACTCAGCCTTAAATTTATGATCTGCAACAAAACTTTCTAGTTTTTTCCACAGCCATGTAGTGATAACTACAGAATCTTCCAAATCTGAACCTTCTAAAATAGATACAAGCTCTTCACAATGAGCTTGAACAAATGGGTCTTCTAACAACTTGCAGACTGTAGGAGTGAGATGTAGCCCATGTTTGTTTGTTGCAAACTGCACCTTAGGGTTCATTTTCCTTTTGAAATCCCTTAAGCTCTGAATAGCTGTTGCTGGAATGCTAGAATCTGAAAAAATATAAATTTAAATTACATTAAGTTTGGGACAAATTTATGATTGATTTTTAAAATACATGTACCTTGCAATTTTATTTTCATGCTGAATAATGTCAGAAAGGAAGTTTTAAATACATGTAATTAATATTACTACTAATTCACTATCTTTACATATCACTTACATAAAAGGATAATTTTTATAAAATATTCTTTTTTTAAAAAAGGGGGCTTTTGTGATGCTCCTTGCACAACTTAGAAAGCCTGCTCTTTTGTTTTACCTCTGTATGCTCTCAGATTAAGAAGACTGTATTGAATTTCCACTGGATTGATCTGAACCTCTACATCAAAGCTGTCTGCACTGAAATCAAGGATAGATTTATCCATTCCATACTTCTCAGCTATGAGCTCAAACTTCTCCATCGAGTGCCTGACTTGATACAGTCGATCCTGTCCCAGTATGTCTTTCCGAATTGCATCCAGCAGCACCCCACCATGGTACATCTTCTGGATACTTTCCAGGGTCTCAAGACTATTGATAGCTATTGTTAGAATTAAGGATCCTTGTCCAAGTTTCTTAAGATAGGCATCCACATTATCTGTCAATGCTTTAAGTGCATGTAAATCTTCTTCTGACCGAACATCAAGCATTCTGCGCCCCACAAACTCATACAATATAGATATTCTCTTCTGATTTATTTCTTCTGGCTGAAATTGAAAACAAAACACACATGTAGGAGTTTAAATGATCGATGAGAAACACAAAATAACATGCAATACTAAGAAGTACTGTAAACGAACTCACAAAATTTAAATGGTCTTGGTTAAACAAAAGGCCCAAGGGCCTTAACGGTCACCTTAGCATAATACAACACTGTAAAGGATCCATGGAAGTATAAAACAAAATTAACTGATAGACGAAGCAATGTTGCCCCAAGAATTTCAAACATAGGTAATCAAAGATTATGAAGCTCACCTCGACGAATGTTATCCATAAGTAAGGCAAATCTCGCATTATATTTTTTCTAGTTAGTGTACATCCCAAGATCAATATCCATGCAAGTTTGGTTTAAGTACGACTTATAGTTACTTGGAAAAAGACCTGCTCAAAAAATATTTACTAATCAAAAAATTTTGGTCAGTTCCAACATCCAAAGCAAGCCTGGAAGTTTTCATCCTTAGATGCACCATCTATGCAAGTATAATCCTAACAGGCCATAATATCATATAGCTACTCCAAAAACTTTAACCTGGTCACTCCTTTAAAAATGAAGGTCAGATTCAAAATCCAAAGCAAGTCTGGAAGTGTCCATCCCAATGTACATCATCCATGGTTAAAATATGGCTAAAATTCACTCATTTGTAAAATCTAGGTCGCCTCTAGCATCCGAAGCAGGTTGGTTAGTGTACATCCCTAGATGCATCATCCATTAAAGTTTGGTCCAGGTTGGGCTTATAGTTACTTGCAAATGGACCTGTTCTAAAATCTTTACCTAGTCACTTATCTGGAAATTCTGGCTCAGATCCAGCATCTGAAGCAAGTGTGGTAGTGAACATCCCTATATGCATCATCCATCAAGTTAAGTCCAGGTAGGGCTTTTATTACTTGGGAATGGACCTGCTCCAAAAACTTTGACCTGGTCACTTATCTGGAAAATCTAGGTCAGATCCAGCATCCGAAGCAAGTGTGGTAGTGTCCATCCCCAGAGGCATCATCCATTAAAGATTGGTCCAGGTAGGGCTTACAGTTACTTGCGAATGGACTTGTTCAAAAATCTATACCTAGTCACTCATCTGGAAAATCTGGCTCAGATCCAGACTTGGGTATATAACATGACTATTTGCCACTTGTCACTAATTACAATAACTCATCCTGGCTCTTTGTGATTCTTTTTTCACTTTGATGAAGTATAAAACAACATCCAGTCTCTTGTCAACCATGACTCTTCTACCAGTGACACTAACTTAGATCACCACAGTGTAAACATACTGTGTACAAATACAACTTTTGCTAAATATATAAATAATCTTTATGTCAATCTTTTATACTGCTTTCCAGGCAAGAATCTGACTTTGAGCATATTTTGCTCATTTAAACCATTCATTTTTATTTTGTTTCTATATATATAACATTCTTTTTTGTATTCTCATTCAATCAAATAACCTGTTAATAAAATTATATACAAGGATTCCTTGATTAACAATATTTAGCAAAGAGGAATAACTCATTTGCTTCACATCACAATTGCGTACTCTGCCTCCTAGATACAGTGGCTGCAACGTTATTGTTGACAACTTACACGAACGATCACGTTACACGAACGATTCCGCACGATTAACGCACGATAAAACCTGTTACATGAACGATCCCTCACGCACACCATTCTACACGTTACACGATCTTACACGATTGGTAACGCAAACGCACGATTCTTCACGCAAAATTGTTCAAATTCTTTAGGAATGGATATTTTCAAAACGAAATAAGGCTTAATACTTATTTTAGATTTCAAATAATTATTGATATTATTTCATCGACTTTGAAAAATAATAGAAAAAAATAGAAATGGATTTTTCTGGAACTAAATACATGTAAGACTTATTAATAATTTTAGATAACAAATAATTATTTATGTAAATCTCCGACTTAAGAAAACTGATTTTTTTTTTCGTTCTATCAGAAGATGTACATGTTGGTGGACCTTGATTTTTGATTGAATTGGATTTCATAATATGCGGAAAGTTTTTTAAAAAATGGCATGGAAATGAATTAAATTATACGTTATATCCATGTTTTCATTTCTGTATCTCTAAAATCAACAATTATTTTGCAAATCATTTATTTGCAGAAATAATAGTAGTTAAGAGTAAGCTCCAGAGATAAACACAGATAAACAAAACCCCGACAATCATGTCGTGCACATGTACATTCGCCGACTAAATATTTATGTAAGCGTAGAGAATTGTTTATCTATTTATTTGTAAAAATATCTATTTTTGATCTATTGATTTTGAAAATATTTTGACCATGATTAGCAGTAAACATAATTAACATCAGAGTAAAAAATCCTTAAACATCTAAGTACGGTTTAGCACAAAAAAATCACGCGATTTGACAAGAACACAATATTGTACGACTTACTATATTGCTTATTTCCAAGCGATAATTAGTTCGCTCTGCTTTCAATTATGTAAATCGCGTTTCATTCATTTTATTTGGATTGAAAAAAAATCAGACAAGTGAAATGCTTCTATAACAAATAACATTCCGATAAAATTTACACGTTTCTTAACGCACGATCACGCACGATTAAAACCGCACACGATTGAGTGTGATACATGCATTATCTCGCACGTTACACGAACGATCACGCACGTTACACGAACGATTCTACACGATTGGTTTGTCAACAATAACGTTGCAGCCACTGTACCCAGAAGCAAAGAAAAGGCACATTTACTTCTAACTATACTTAATACATTTACATTGATATTATTGCATTTAGTTTGTTTGCTTAGTACTCAGTGGCATAGGGGAAGGTTTTTCAAAGCATTAATGCATTTTGCTAATTAATCAATAGAACCCCACCCAAGCACAAGAACCCCTGACCCAGGGGCCATGAAATTCAAAATTTGGAGGAGGCATCCTTTCTCATCATGGCTATGTATTTAGTTTGTTTAATTAATACCAAGGGGCAGAGGAGAAGATTTTCAAAGCATTACTTTATTGAGAGTATATAATAAATAAGCCCCCCCCCCCATGGAACAGCTGACCCAGGGGCCATGAAATTCACAATCTTGGAAGAGGCACTCTTGCTCATCATAACTATGTACTTAGTTCATCAGAATAATACCCAAGAGCAGAGAAGATTTTCAAAGCATAAATTTATCTTCAGTATGTAATAAACACCCCCCCCCCCCCCCCACACACACACACACATAGGACCCCTGACCCAGGTGGGCCATGAAATTCACTATTTTGGAGGAGACACTCTTACTTATCATAACTATGTACTTAGTTCATCAGCTTAATACCCAGGAGCAGAGAAGAAGATTCTCAAAGAATTAATGCATTTTCATTATATAATCATTAGAGCCCCGCTATAACACCAGAACCCCTTACCCAGGGGCCATGAAATTTACAATTTTGGAAGAGGCATTCTTGCTCATCATAACTATGTACTTAGTTCATCCGCTTAATACCCCGGAGCAGAGGAGAAGATTTTCAAAGAATTAATGCATTTTCATTATATAATCATTAGAGCCCCGCTCTAACACCAGAACCCCTGACCCAGGGGGCATGAAATTCACGATTTTGGAAGAGGCACTCTTGCTCATCATAACTATGTACCTAGTTTATCGGCTAAATACCTAGGAGCAGAGAAGATTTTTAAACAAGAGGCCCACGGGCCACATCGCTCACCTGAGCACTATGGCTAGGGAAAAGCAGAAATCAGTTCAGTCTTGAAAGGTTGAAAAGTTCAAATATAAAAGTGGGGGGGGGGCATGAATTGAAAAAATTTGAATCTACATTACCTGAGGATGCTTCCATGTAAATATGACCAATCATGGCTTTGCTGTTCTTGAGAAGAAGATTTTTAAAGATTTTTCCTATGTAAAACTTTCATCACCCATTGTGGCCCCACCCTACCTCCAGGGGTCATGTTTGAACAAACATGAATCTACACTACCTGAGGATGCTTCCATGTAAATATGACCAATCATGGCTTTGTTGTTCTTGAGAAGAAGATTTTTAAAGATTTTTCCAATATATTCCTATGTAAAACTTTGATCGCCCATTGTGGCCCCACCCGACCCCCGGAGGTCTTGATTTGAACAAATTTGAATCTACACTACCTGAGTATGCTACCATATAAATATGACCAATCATGGCTTTGCTGTTCTTGAGAAGAAGATTTTTAAAGATTTTTCCTATATATTCCTATGTAAAACTTTGATCTCCCATTGTGGCCCCACCCGACCCCTGGGGGTCATGATTTGAACAAACTTGAATCTACACTACCTGAGGATGCTTCCACATAAGTTTCATATTTTCAAGCACAGTGTTCTTGAGAAGAAGATTTTTTAATGATGCCATTTATTTTTCACAAATTCATAATTATCTCCCCTTGGAAGAAGGCATGGCCCTTCATTTGAACAAACTTGAATCCCCTTTACCCAAAGATACTTTGTGGCAAGTTTGGTTGAAATTGGTCCAGTGGTTCTGGAGAAGAAGTCAAAAATGTGAAAAGTTTACAGATGGACAGACAGACGGACAGACGGACTACAGACAAAATGTGATCAGAAAAGCTCACTTGAGCCTTCGGCTCAGGTGAGCTACAAATGCATTTTCATTATATAATCATTAGAGCCCCGCCCTTGTGCCAGAACCCCTGGCCCTGGGGCCCTGAATTTCACAATTTTGGTAGAGGGCTCAATGCTTATGACAATCATCCCAACAGTTTGACTGCTTGATGTCCAGGAGTAAAGAAGAAGATTTTTAAAACTTGCATTAATTTTGATAGTTTTAGCCCACCCATCAGGCCCAAGGGGGACAGGAGCCATGAATTTCACAATCTTTACTCCCCTACACCCAAAGATGCTATATGCCAAAATAGGTTGAAATTGGTTCAGTGGTTCCAGAGAAGAAGCTAAAAATGTCGACCGATTGACAACGAACGACGTACGACGAACTACGACGGACGAAA